CCTGCTCCTGGCTCCTCTCATTTACACTCTGAAAATCTCAGGGCTGGCGATGTATTTGGAGAGGGCCATCTTGATAGATAGATAGATAGATAGATAATTTTTTTTTAAGAGATGGATTGGTTTCTTGAGAGGAAAAGGGTAATTTTATATTTAAGATGTATAACCCCATCAGTACCAAGGTGAGTTGAATGCACTTCTCCGGCACGACCTGAAGTGCCCAGTCCAGGCTGACAGTCTGTGGAGAACAGCTGCTGAGGACACAGTTACATTCCAGCATGAGTGAATGGGGCTGACTTGTGTCCGTGGAGAGAAACTTCAAAAAGCAGAGGAAGTGGCTTGTGGAACCTGTGGCAAATGGGATTTGGAAGGTAGTCTCAGGCCATGTACGACTCAGTCATGTGCTGGGGTGCTGTGTGTGGTCGGAGGTAGGTCTTTGAAGGGGTGCTGTTCCCTAATTAGAGCACACATAGGTGTAACTAGAGTAATTGCAGGTCCTTGAAATACAGAGTATCCAGGAACCTGCATCACAAAGGAGCGGGGTATTTCTCTGACTTAGATACTTGTAAAATGGCTTTGGCATGAGATGAAAGTGTTATACCACTGGCATGTCAGGGCAGTCTGAACTCCTCAGTTGGGAAGCCAAAGACACACATGCTTGTGCTTTCATTCTGTGCAAAAGGCAAATGTGAGGAGTCCATTCTTTGTTCAGCTGAGCAGGCCAGCAGGGCTGTACTCCAATGAGAGTGAGCTTTGCCTTCCCCCAATCTCCATGCTTCCATTTGATTCCCAGCTGTTTAGGGACAGGTGATGTTGCTGCCACAAGAGCCCTTTCAAAAAGCTGTAGTAGCAGGAGACCAAAAGGAGACAAATGCTTCTTTTGTTTGTTTGCAGGAGGCTGATGACCCTGAACACATGTGCTACCATGAAGCTGGAAGTCCACTGTGAGCAGAAACAGGTAAGTCATGAGGCTTCAAGGGTGCAGCAAGGCCGTAGAGCTGCAAGGAGTGGGTTCTGCTCCAGTGCAGTAGCAACCAAGTACGCTCCATGGCTTTTAAAGAGTGCTGCCCCTCCTCATTTCTGCCTGCTAAATTATATTAAAAAGCTGGTAAAAAAATCTTCCCTACCAAATAATACATTTCCATATAATCATGGCAGCTTCCACAAAGGTGTTATGTGATTCCCAGGTGGGAGGAGAGGTGGGTTGGTCAGGAGAAAAATGTTCCATTATCACAAGTGGAAAGGGTAATATCCAGGAGCAAATCTATTAGTGTGCATGTTGGGAACATGTGAGAACACCTGTTCTACCAGATTTTGAAGGACGTGCTTTTGCTGGCTTTTATCTGGGAGCCTTCCAGTATTGTTCTTAATGCTTCTGTTTCTCTGTTTGATACCAAATTCCTGATGGCAAATTGAGGATCTCACAGGCAGGGGAATCTTGGTGAGATCTGGGTTTCTTCCCTTTTTGTTTTGGGCATAATGCCTTCCCTTGTCAGTGGCTGGCTTGGTGTTGGGATTTCCATTTACCCTGTTTCAGTGAATTCCATATTGTTGAGAACCTTGGAAAAAATGCTTCGGGTAATTTGTCTAGAGCTCACTCAAACTTGTTCTTATTCACCATAATAAGATATTTTACTGTTCCACCAGAGCTCTTCTGTAAATTTCCTGGTGATGGGAAGTTGTCTCAAAGCAGCAAGCTGGAGTAGGGGAAAGGTAGAGTCTGTCTGCAGCTGCTTTTAGATGAGCCATAATGCAGTGCCATACTGTTAAACATAAACTAGAAGGGGATTTCCTTGAGCAGATCTTTAGCAGGATGGATTAATAAAGAAACCTAGCTTTGCAGAGGAGGTTCCCTTGGGGTGAATAAAACTACCCCATATGTCTCAGACAATAAAGCGCTACTATGACTATGTTGTTTACTGTGGCTATATAAGCATCATGCCCCACCTGCACTCTATAGCAGCTGCAGGCTTAACACCTCAAGCTGAAGGTCTCCACTTGTCCTGCAAAAATTGCAGGAAGGTCAGAGTTTGGGGCATTGTTCCAGTGTCCGGATCTCCAGACCTCGACGACACAAACAACCTGAGGACGAAAATGAGGGTGGAAAGGAGGTTTTTGGATAGCTTTGAGCTGTTTGTGCTGTAATTATTTCTGGAGTCATAAGGGAACAGTATTAAAAATAGAAATGCCAGATACAGAGATTATTACTAAGACAGTGGTGCTCAGGGGTAAATGTAGCTGATGGTTTTCTGATAGGAGTTAGTAAAACAGCTGCGAGATCTATCAGATGAAGAAGCCAACATCCAGATCACAAAGAAATATCCAGAGCTTTTTAGGTGGGCTGGGGGGAAACAACACTGCTATCTCAAACTCTAGTCCAAGAATGGGTTTTGGTGGCAGTTGGTTGTCCTTGCATTCTTTTTTCAAGGCATTGCACTTCACTCCACGCATACTTCTCTCCACCAGCAAAGTAGCATGTTCCCTGGTTTCCGTTCCAGCAGAGCTGCTCACGTGTTTTTCAGTTTTGGTAAAAATTTCCAGCAAGAAAAAAAAGATAGTTTTGACACTTTGGGCCCATTTGTCCCTCTTATCGACTCTGTTCTTACACTTACTTTTCTACTGTAGTGTGCCTTGCATCCTTGGTAGCTACCATTAGATTATGGACGCACATTCATTGGAGGTCCCTATACGTCTTTTAATAAGTGATAAATAATGGCTCTATTGTGTACAGTGGACCAAAATCAGTATGGAACAAATGGCTTCTATGGGTACACCTTGTTCCAAATTCCCCTCTCTGTATTTTGGAGAGGTGCTGCCAAATCAAACCCTCCCAAAATCTGCCTTGATTCCTAAAAAGTAGGTGGAGATTTAGATCCTGTAACAGCTGTGGGGCACCAGAAGTCAAATGCAGCCTGACCTCTGTGTCGTTTGTTGGGTCTAGAAGGCCAGGAGCTGTTCTGTCCCAACGCTTGAACTGTGACCTAGAAACACTTTTAATACAAACTAATGTATCTCAAAAGCAAATACTTCCATCTCTCCCCCTCCCACTTGGGTGCAATTGCAGTGTTCTTTGTAGGACTCGCTCCATTGTGTGGTGAGAAACCTTCTCTTCTAATTCTACAACCTAAAAATGTTCATACCAGGCAGGCTCGGGGACTGGCTGTGTGAAAGTGACAGTGGGAGAGAGAGGCACAACAGCAGGGCACGCAGTGCTATTACAAATATTTGAAGTCCAGACAGGACTGTGTTTTTCTCTCTACTTTCGAACCTTTTGAAGTAGCTGGAACAATCACAAAAACATTTAGAAATAGAATGGACAAAGCCCTTGGGAATTTAATATAGGGAGCAACCCCCTGCAGTAGTTTCCCAGCAGCGGACAAAACAATGAATGCTTTGTCTCTCTCCTCCAAAAAGTAACTGCATAAAAGGTGAAATGGATTTGTTTGGTGTCCTACAGTGTCTTATATGGAGTACATTTCTCTGTTTGTGATGATGTGTTATGGCTTTTCTCTTACGTATGTGGTTATTAGTGGATCCAAGTAGCTCTGGAAAACTCAGGAGGAGCATGGTTATGTTATGCTGGGTGATTCAGATGGTCTGTGTTGATTCTACCTTCCTCTGTGGTTCTTATTCTCGGTGCAGAATGAAGACTCAGATGAAGATGTATGTGCCATCAGCAACCGATGGACCTTCCAGAAGGACAGTAAAAGGTGGTCCAGGATTGGCTCTGTTGAGTCCCTCTCCCACAGTTCAGAGGTGCTGATCACTGTAAAGGAGGCATCCAGCCATGAGAGTGTCCTCACAGACCTCAGCACCAATGTGGAGGCTGCTTCACTCCATAGCAATACCAGCACAGGCAGCACCGGTGACACCCTCTGCAGCGTGGTCACCATGCCTGACCTGTCACCCAACCAGGACTCTGCAGTCATTACCTTCACCTCTAGTAGCCAGTCTCTAACAGACAAATCCCAAGACCAGACTGGGAGCTCCAAGGATAAGCTCAAAAAGCGGAGGTCTCGCAGCTTTCTACGGAGGATAGAGTCTTTCCGAAGAAAGAAAAAAGAGAAAACTGATTCCAGACCTAAGGAAGCCACTAGCGATGAGACGGCAACCGAACCAGAGTGTGATTCCGTGGAGGCCAACGGGGACATTATAGCTGCCAAGCCTACCTCCCCCAGACAAAGAATGTCTCCCTCCCTCCTTGACAAAAACCTGTTTCTGTCAGGAGGAGATGGGGTTGAACATGTATCAGACTTAAAAGGCAACAAAACAGGCTGTCAACTGAAAAACAGTGGGGTTGACCTGGAGCAACGTAGAAAGGTCCTGGTAAATGGCACTAGCTCATCCATTGGAGAAAGCCACCAGTGGCATCCATACAGTGACTATTTGATCCACATTCCTGCAGACCACAAGCCAGGGACTTTCCCCAAATCTCTCTCCATTGAAAGCTTGTGTCATCCATGTGACAGGTCCTTGACCAACTGGACACCAGGGAACAAAGCAAGGGAGTTTTCAGAGTTCAGCCTGGATGACAGTAGCAGTGGCTCGGCAGACTCTCCTCAAATGAGCTCTGGGTCCCGTCGGAGGCGGAATTCATGCAGCTCCATCAGCAGCATAATGAGTGTGTATGACAATGTGCCCCAAGGTGCCAGCAGCAAAGAACAGCTTGATTCCGTCTTGGAGTATGTCCTGCATTTGGTAGAGAGAGTGGACAGCTGGTATCAGGCTATCATCCCTACGCAAGACAGTGAAGCAGGGAGGAGGGAGGAGACAGACTCAGGTGGAAAAGTAGAGAGGAAGGAGAAGACAGACTTAGGCAGAGAAGCAGAGAGGAAGGTCAAGGAAGACTTAGGTGGAGAAGCAGGTAGGAAAGAGGAGACAGACTCAGATGGGGAAGCAGAGAGGAAAGAAGAGACAGACTCTGGAGAGGAGCCTGCCTTTCTGTCCAGTCTCAACTTGGAAAAGCAGTCCATGTCTGACGTTGGCACCTCCACCAGCGACTTTGGCAGTACAGGCCATTCCTTGAACGAAGCTGAGGAGATCGAGATGAGGGAGCGCAGAGATTCAGGAGTGGGAGCATCGCTCACCAGACCTTGCAGGTAGGCCAGCCAGACATATCCCTGAGCAGTGGGCTTGGGGATGACACCCTCAGATACTCCTGCTAGTGGCAGCCTGTGTTCCAGTGAATGAAAGAGATGGTCTCATTGCTGTAAGGGTGTGGTAGAGGTTCATTCTGGGGCTGATTTATCCCAGATGTGACCCCTGGCATCTCATGAGTCTCCTCTCTGGAGAGGGCAGTTTTATATTAAGGATCATCAACCCTTGTGTTGCTTTGCATCCTATCTTCCTCCAGAGCTTACTTCCAAGTTCCTTCAGAAGCATCAGTGCTATTCTTGCCTAGCTTAATCTATGGAGGGTCACTGGCAAACAGTACAAGAGGCATTATTTCTACTGAGAAATCCCTTTTGCCTTAGCTATAACACTCTCTTCTGGTAACACTCCATGATTTGCTTATTACAGTAGTCCCTATTGTCACCAGAACCTGGAATAATGTTCCTTGGGCATGTAGAGGCTGGTGCTGGCCAAGGTGCGGTACACTGAGCTCTACCAGCTGATTATTTCACCATGGCTGAAGTGGTATGAAACTAATGAAGACACTGGTAAAAATAAAACAAAACGTTTGCTTCCTGAGCATGTTCTGAACAAGAACCAGGCTGGAAGGCTCACAGCAGCCAGAGTTTGAGTCTTTGGTGCCCTCTAGAGGACCGAACAAACACAGGTGCTATTCCTGGAGGGACACAATATTCATATCTACTGTTTGGCCTGGCTGGTTTACAAGGTGGTGGCCTTAAAGTATACAGGTAGTTCAGCGTGTCACAGATAAACCTGAATTTATCCATCCAATCTTGGTTTTGCCACTTTTCTTTAAGATCATTTGTTTGGAAACCAGAAAATTAATGCTCAAGAATTTGCTCTTAAAGATGTTAATCTTATGGTTTGCCTGATTAAAAAAAACCTGGCATCTGCTCAGCTGCCCTGTTGCTTTAATTCATCAGGCCCTGCATATTTAAATAGTGGAGGGTAACTTGTCTGCTGGTGAAGAGGGTGTGGGCATTTAGCTAGGCAGTTTCCCATTACAGTCAGCTGTGACAGTCACTCACATCTCCCTGCACATAGAGATCCACCCCAACAGAGCATGGGCCTTGTCAGAGCAGAAAGGTTTGAGGAAAGTTGTGCACTATCCAGGCTGGGCAGAGCTGCTTTCTGCGGAGTATGTTCAGCTCCATTCATTCTTCACAAAGGAAGCCTTGACTTGGGGTGTTTGTTTTTACCCTACTTTGGGATGGATCTCCATGGTGACCCACAGCCAAATTGTCATGGTACTTCCTACTGTTGGAAAAGAGTCTCCTGCCCAAAGTAAGCATGGGTTTTTGTAAATGTCCTGCAGGCTTGCATCTCTTTCACAGTAGAGACCCTCACCTAGATCCTTGCAAGTCCCTTGGGCTGGTGTGATATAAATGCCTTGATGGAGAGATAGATGATAGAGCCTAAGTACTAACATGAGACTTGTGGGAATCACGGTCTTTTCTGCATGATGAGTCAGAGTGGTCAGACCCTATGGCATAGTGACTTAGACTGGGGCACAGCTGGGTGGCTGGGGGGGTTCTTGGTTACCTCCAGTGTTGTATATGTGACCAAGGAAGTGTAGTTCTGTGGAACAAAAGAAAATGCATCTAGCAAAATGATGCACAGCATTGGAGACCTAAGTGGAAATGCTCCCTTCATGCATAGTTTGAGATGGAGGGTTTGGGTGTGGACACGCTAACCTGCCCAACCCTTCTACTCCCGGGGGTAACTGATATTTCAGTTCACTCCTGGGCAGGGGAGAGGAGGGCACAGTGCTTGCTGACTGGGTGCCTGCCCTGGACATGTGCTCAGTACCCAGGAGCTATGGGTGGAATGGGAAGCAAGCACCTTGCACTTTGAAAACTGCCCTGGGATCCTTTGCTTCCTGACTCTGTCTTTCCTTGCAGGAAGCTGCGCTGGTACAGTTTCCAGAACTCCCAGCCCTGTTTGGATTCTGCTTCCTTGGAGATCAACTGCCAGTCATCTGCTCAGCTGAACCTGCTCCAGAAATGCTCACTGCTTCGCCTTACTGCCATCATGGAGAAGGATTCTATGTCCCAGAAACATGCCTGGACATGGTGAGCTGGTGGGGTGAATGAGGAGGTGGTAGTGGGAAGCTGGACGAGTAGGGCTAAGCATCAGGTTTCACATCTAGGCTCCCTGAAACTCCAGATTTAAATACTGGCCCCACTGACAGCCCTTCACCTTGCTGTGGCAGATGGTGAATTCCATCTGTGCCCAGGGCGACAAAGGAAGATATTTTAAATGATGGAAACCCTCTTTGTTGTATGTGAACAGTAAATGCTGTATGTGGCTTCTAGAAGAAGTTTGCACTAGGAAACTGCCATGGTGCCTTCCTTCCATCCCAGAAGGATTTGCATTTCAGGGGTGTTGGATGCATGTGGTCTGTGAAGCCCTTTGGGAGGGAAGAGATTGGAGAAATGCACGAGAACACCACAGTGTTTCCCTGTTGTAGTTGTGTAAGTATTCTGTCCATAGCTGGGGGGGAGTGTCTGTGCCTGTGTGTAGTGCTCCCTGCCTAATCTCCAGCTTACTGCAAAGGGAAGGTGATTGCCGTTCTGACTCAACGTCTTCACTTCTCACAGGACTGTGCCCAAATTCATGAAGAGGAGTAAAACCCCAGACTACAAGGACAAAATGGTCTTTGGAGTCTCACTAATGGTCACCGTGCAGAGGACAGGACAACCCCTGCCTCGGGGCATCCAGCAAGCCATGCTTTACATCCGCAGCAAGTGCCTAGACCAGGTGAGGAGCAGCACAGCTGGTGTTGCCAGCACAGCTGGGAGTGTCCATTTCCCTGCCCATAGCTAACCTGCAGGGAACGTTCTCCTTTCAGTCTGGTATCATCTGGCCAGGACTTCTCAGCACTGCCCGAACGTGGCAGGAGATGTTACTGTGTCATAGAGTGAGAAGGACAATTCCTCTATGGGTGCCACTGTTTTAACCCCATTGGGGGCTGCTCCTTAACATCATATATTGCCACTCAGGGAGGTGTGGCATTGTTTGCCCTAGAAACCTCTTCAGTCCCAGTCTTCCTGGGACTGGCTCTTAATGAGTATAGGCCCCACACCCTTCTCAGTAGGTGAGGAAGTGGGCTCCTTTTTCAGAATCCAATCTCATACCCTGCTGCCACCACCAGCGTTGTATATTGGGGGTATATATTTCTTGCTTTGGAATGGGCACTGGCAGATGCCAGGAAAACCATCAAGGTGGTGATGGGACTGTGCGCCCTGCAGCAGGTTGGAGCTTATTCCAGTGTTAATTCCAGTCTCTGCTTCCAAAGCTAAAGTCCTCACCTGGGTGCCCAGCACAACCTTCACACAGTGTGCCAATGTGCTTTTCCTAGAGTGAGGAATGGAGCTTTTCACTTAGCCAGTGATTTGAGACCCCTTCTTCTTGAGTGCTGCTGCCTTCTAGCCTTCCCTTATTCAGGGCCACCCTTCCTGTGCTATTGAGAATATAAGCTTGTTGGGACAGTCTCTTGATGGGCATCACAGAATGTGTCTTGGTCATCTGGTTGCCCAGGCAGTGGAGCAGAGGCTGAGCTGGTGCCAACAGAACTTGATTTGGTGAGATCTGACATCTGTTTCCAAACTTGGCTGGAGCTCAGGGCTACGTTGGTGGACTGCGCTAGACTCCCTTTTCTGAGCACTCTCCAATTCTCCTTCTGAGCAGGTTGGCATTTTCCGAAAGTCAGGGTCGAAGTCTCGGATCCAAGCACTGAGAGACTTGAATGAAGCTTCCCCCAACAATGTGAATTATGACGGGCAATCTGCTTATGATGTGGCGGACATGCTGAAGCAGTATTTCCGCGACCTGCCAGAGCCTATCTTCACTAGCAAGCTCACTGACACTTTCCTGCAGATCTACCAGTGTAAGTGCTACCCACAGGAGCAGAGCGAGGCAGGGTCCTGGGAAAGGGCAGAGGGCCCAAGCTCTAGAGTCAGAGCAGTTGACAAAGCAAGCTGACCACTGGGGGTGTTGCCTGGCTAAGAATGAAAATCAACACCTCAGCAGCCAAGCCATTGTCACTGAGGTGTCTCCACAAAAATCCAAGTCTGTCTGTGGGAACGGAGGCAGTTGTGTGAGAGCCAGATTTTATTCTTTATTTGCCCCTCCCAATAGATGCCCTTGTGGTAAACTCTTCCTAGACATACATTTTACCAGCACTGTTGCCTGCTGTGGGGCTGGCAGGCAGGGAGCAGTGGCCAGAGCAGCCCTTTGACATGGAACAGGGAGAACAGCAGAAGCTTCAGAGCATAAGGCCTAATGAGGAAATTGGCTGGGCCCTTTCCTTAGGCCTTGCATTTGTCACTAGTATTTTGACTGTGGGATTTGGTTGCCTAGTTGTGATCTCCTGCTTGCTCTTGTGAAATTATAAACTGTTAATCGTAACTCCCTGAGAAATGTCTATCGGCGGGATTTACATGCTGAAGCAGTACATGAGCAAGTGTCACTGTGACCAGCTCTCCATGACAAGTGGCCTGTGGCCTGCAGCCATGGCCTGTTGGACTGGACACAGCTTCAGTGTGAGGAGGATAATTACATAGTTTCCTGAGGCCTCATCTCACTGCCCCCAGGTTTAGTCAGGAGCTCTGCCAAAAAAACAGAGGGATCCCTAGAGCAGAGGGTCCCAGAGGTATAGTTGACCACACACTCCTTCTCTTTGCCTTCAGTTGTCCCAGCAGAGCAAAGGCTGCAAGCTGTCCAGGCTGCCATTCTCCTGATGCCAGATGCAAACCGGGAGGTGCTGCAGGCACTTCTCTACTTCCTAAGCGACATTGCCTCAGTGGAGGTGAATCAGATGACACCCAGGAACTTGGCAGTGTGTCTGGCCCCATCCATCTTCCACCTCAACGTGTCCTCCTCACCAAGGTAAGGGCACAGCGACTGTTGCACTAAATTTCAGTTAAGGGGTGGCGTGAATGGAATGAAATGATCGGTGATACCATTCTAGTCTCAAATTCAAATTTATTAAACACATAAGCAATTGCACTATTTGAGCAAAACCCCAAACAGTCTGTAGAGGTATTCCTTCCAAACAATGCATATGACTGCTCTGCCTAGGCATCATCAGAGCTTCGGGGATCACAGACAAACACTCAGAAAATGACCATTTCTCTCCTTAGGCATCCCCTGTTCAGGAAGCATGCAGTTGTGATAGGCAATACCAGCCAGGGGAGTGCTGTCTTCTTGCTTGGTGACAGGTCCACAAACTTAAGTTGTTTCCTTAGGTTTTTATATCCTTGTACAGCTCTCTTCTGTATATCCCATATAGGGTCATGCTATAGATCCTCACCAGTTACCTTTTACAGTGGTTCTTTCCTCATCAATGTCACCCTCAGCTTGTTTCTTCTGAATTTACTTCACACCTACTAAGCCATCCTTGGGTTTGTCTTGCTTCTCTACTCTATCTTGTTTTTCTACGTTCTCCAGCTGTCTACATTTTGTTTTGCCTACAACAGTTGTTTTTGTTGCCTCTGCTCATTTCCCTTGCCACTCATGGTGTTCATTCGAACGGAAAAAAAAATGGCCTCAGTTATATCAAGGCAGTTTATGGGCTTACAATCCTTTAAGCTGCCCCAGTCCTTCAGAACCACACTCCAGATGCCCTGCACGTTTTCCCCTCCGCACTCCTCTCTGTCCCGT